TTCCTCTTCCTCGCCAGAGACTGCATTGGCCACCGAATGGCTCCCCATGCCTTGGTCCAGCATCACCGGGGACAGAAGCCAAAAGGCAGGAACTTTGCTGGGGGACTGGGGGGGGGGTTGATGTGCCCTCAAGGTGGAGCTGATTTATAGCAATCCTGAAAGGGCTTTTACAGGGTAAGCAAGATGTTTAAGGAGTGGCTTTACCAGTTCCATGGCAGAGCAGGAATTTGAACCCAGGCCTCGTCTTGAGTCACCCTGTCTTTTAAAAAGGCCCTTTGATGAGCAAGGATAATTCTGCTTGGTGGTTCGCGGTTTCTGTGCCTGGGGATTCCATTGCCCTTTACCTGGGGCTGCCCTTTGGGGGCCGTCCCGAAGAGAGAGCAGCTGGCCGGCAGCTGGAACAGCCGTCCTCGGATCGGAACCACATGACACCCCTGTTAAAGGGAAGGCCGGGGGCGGGGAGGGGCTGCCCACGGACTTCCAGCCTGTGTTCAAGGTCTTGAGGGTGCCGGTGGAGCCCCAGGCAGAGAGAGGGAATGTGTGCCTTCCACGGAAGAGGGTCTCCCCCTGCCGTGGCGGCCCACGTGTGGAAGGCCCCCTTCCGAAGCCCCGCCGGCATCCACTCGAGCCTTTGGAGGCTCGGTCTGCTGGGCTGCAGGTTAGACCTTTAATTCCGCGAATTGTCTTAAGTGGCTGGACGTGGGCTTTAGGGTTGCCCTGTGGCTCCTCGGCCTGCCTGACCGTCTTCCGGGGCAGAGGTGGGGCAGGGAAAAGGGTGGCCATGGGGGCAGGGCTGGCATCGCCCCACGGAGATGTGAGGGGGGCCCACAGAGAGCCCACACAGCACCTTGCCTGGCTCCCGCCAGCCGCCACCCCAAAAAGGCTCTCCTGAGAGTCTCCTCTACCCGCTGGAGCCCCTCCCGGTTGATGGGCCACAGCACTGTGGAAATCGCAAGGGGAGCAAAGCCGAGGGGACCCCAGTGATGGTGTCCCCCCCCCCCGGATATTTCACCTGGGAAGGCCGGGGCCTTCAGGAGAGACGCAATTGGCATCTGCAGAGCAAGCGGGCGGCCTGAGAGAATCTCGGCCGGCATCGCTGGCTTTTCTATCTGTCTGCATGAAAGCAGTCATGGGGGGCGGGGGGGAGGAAGGAGCTCACAGGACTCTCTCTTGTGGGGCACAGAGGCCAAGGCCCACTCAGGACCCCCCCCACACACACACACACACCTCCTTTGCTGCTTCTTTCTTGAGTCTTCACAACAGATTGTTTGGTGCCTGATTTGGTTTGGCTTCTTTCCAGGCCACGTGATAGCCTCGGTCTTGCCACACGTGGCCAGAGAGCTAAGGATGGGGGCCTGCCCCGGCCACCAGCTGCCTCTGCTATCCAATGCATGCCCTCAGGGTTGCAGGGTGGGGGTGGGAAGTGGGGGAGAAGACGTGAGGGTGCCACGTTCTGCTTAGTTGGGCTTGGGCTCCCAAAGGTTAGCCCAGCCGTGGCTCCCCCACTGCCCCCC